AGGGGCACCGGCAGAGCAGGGGGAGGGGCTGCGTGGTGAGATTTTGGGGGTCTCTGACTCTGGATTTTGTCCTGCCCAGCTTTCTCCTGGACCGGTTGCTGCAGTACGAGAACGTGGATGAGGAATCGTCAGGTGCTGGGAGGATTTGGGGGCGGTGGGGTTGAGGTGGGGCTGGTTGGGGTGGGGGGGGCCCTCTGGAGCTCGGCCCCTTATCACCAGCCTGTTCCCTTCCTGTGGCCCCCCAAAGCTTTGGAGCCCGTCTGGGGGTGTCGTGGAGCCTCTCCTGGTGCATAGCAGGGTTGGGGGCCCCTGAGGAGACGCCGTCCCCTGAGTCGTGGGTGCAGGGGTGTGGAACCGGGTGCAGCGGGGGCATCTTTGGGTCCTGGGGAGTGTGCATGTGGGGGGATGGGTGTGTTGTGAGGGGCTCTTGGGGGTGGGGGTAGGTCCCGGGGTGGGGCTGGGGAGGGGTTGTCTGTCTGTGCAGGGGCTGGCGTGTGTTGGGGGATTTCAGGGGAGGGGTGATGGGAGGGCCTAAGCTGCGGAAAGGGGCCACTGGGGGTTGAGGGGTGTCTGTGAGCGAGAGGAAGGTGCAGTGGGGGGCACAGGTCATAGGAGGATTTGGGGGGCTGCATGTCAGGGAAAGGGCAGTGGCTGAGGAGGCCAGGGCATGTCTGTTAATTGGGGGGGCAGTGGGGTTTGCATGGGGGAAGGAGCATAGACTGTAGGGAGGTTAATGGGGGCTGGGGGTGTCAGTGAATTGGGAGAGGCTGGACAGTGGTTCAGAGGAGGCAGTGTCTGCTGGGGGGAGGGAACACAGGGTGGTTTGGGGGGGCTCTGGGGGTGTCTTCCGTCATTAACCCTCCCCCCATTGCCCTTTCAGACTCAGAGGCCACAGCCTCCTCGGAGAACAGCGATGGGGAGGGGCCCAAGGGGGCGGAGCCGCAGCCGCTGAAGAGGTGTGTACAAGGCCCCGCCTTCCCCTGGGGGTGGGGTCTGTGCCAGAATCCAACATGGCTGGCCTGGTTTCCTGGGTAGGGGTCCCATATTTAATGTGGGCAGTGGATGGGCGTGTGCCAGTATGTGACATGGCTGCCGTGGCAACTTCCTGTGTCTGTCTCTCCTTCCCCCGCCCCCAGGAAGCGGAGCCCTCAGCTTGGCGGAGCCTCATCCCCATCATCCTCTGGCCTCTCTCTCCAGGCCACCTCGGGGTTCCCCCTGCAGGGCTCGGGGGCGCCCTCCCCCTACCTAAGCTCGGTGAGTGACCCCTCCACTGTGGGGAGTATGGTGCCAGAATCCAATATGGCCTCCAGACTGGGGCTGTGGGCCTGTGATGTGATCTCTGCCAGTATCCAATATGTCTGCTGTAGCTTCAGGACAAGCCCCACCTTCAGTAGAGGTGATGTTTGTTCCAGTATCCAACATGGCTGTGTGGGCGGAACTGCCATATTTAATATGGGCAAAGATAGCGCACTGCCAGTATCCAACATGGCTACCTGGCTTCGAAGGCAGAGCCCCCATGGGCGTTGGCTGAGTGGGGAGGTGCCACCCCCTCCTGCTCCCCCCCCAATTGCTCCATGGGGATTCCCCACCTCGCCGGTGTAGTTGTCGAGCAGTGGGGCTCTGTGGTAAAGCCGGCTGTGGGTGTCGGCTGTCCCATAGGGGGCTCCGGGGAGTGTGCATTGAGGGGGACATTAGGGGTTGTGTGCCCCCCCGCTAGGGAGTGGGGGTGTTCCTTGGTGAGGGTGCGTGGGCAGGGTTGCGTGTGGGGGTGCTGGGGGTGATGTTGGGGGTTGGGTGCGTTGTGGGGGGGGTTGTGTTTGTGGGGGGGGGCTGTCCATCCTGCAGTGCCCCCATTCTCTCACTCTGTCACCTTTTCTCCATTTCTCCTGTACTTTGCGCCCCCATCCCCAGCTGGCCTCCCCTCCCTACAGCCCGTTCCCCTCCGAGTACCTGGCACCGGAGCCCTGCGCCCCCCGCCCCGAACGCGCCCGCCCCGAGCGACGGGCCAAGGGCACCCGCAAGCTAAAGGTACCACCTGGCCAGAGGGAGAAGTATGGGCGTCAGCTGGGGAGGGGTCATGTGTCTGGGGGGATTTAGGGGGTGTGGGGTTGGGAGTGAGGGGTCATGCGGAGGTCAAGCCAAGGACATGTGGGGAGTTGGTGGTGGGGTTCAGGTGTGGGGTGAAGGAGGGAGACGGTGGGGGTTGGAACAGGAGGAGTGTGGGGGGGTCAGGAGGAGGGGATGGAGGGGTTAGGGGAGAGAGTTCAGGACAGGTTGGGGGGTTTGTGGGGAACACGGAGGGAGGTTCTGGGGGGTGAAAAGTAAAGGGGGGGATGTGGGGCTGGGCTGTGGGCAGCGGCTCCCTCACTTTCCCTCCCCTCTCTCCCTTACAGATGTCCCTGACGCCCGCCACTCATTCTGACTGCTCAGTGGTGGGGGGTCTCCCCTTCTCTTCGCCCCGGGGGGGCCCCCTGGCCCCCCTTTCCTCCAAGCTCCCACCCCCCACCATCCTGAGCACTGTGCCCCAGCAAATGTTCAGCGACGCGGGGGAGGGGAGTGGCGAAGACCCCCTGGACGGGGATGACGAGCTTGTCATAGATATCCCGGAATAGTGGGGATGGGGGGCAGCCCCCCAGATACACACAGCTCAGCACTGTGGTAGGGGCCCCCAAGAGGCCCCCCAGTTTATTTCACATCCATTCCGGTTGCATTAACAGGCTCCAGACATGCAAATTAACCAATTAAACAGGATTTTGGTATAAAAACAGTGCCATGGCGACTTCAGTGACCCCCGACCGCCCCCCAACCCTCCCTGGCCCCACTGAAATCCCAGAAGCCCTTAGAAGAAAAGCCACTGAATGAGGCTGGTGGTTTCAGGGGGACCCTCACCATGCAAATGACCCTTCTTAGAAACCGTTTTGTAAAAACGGTGCAGAAAAAGGATGCCCCTTTAAGAGCAGGGGTGGGATTTTTGACTGCAGACAAAAAATTCCTTTTAAAGGGGAGGGTTCTAAAATTGGTCCTTGAAAGGAGGGGTGCGTGGGAGGGGACAGAGGGGCTAGTTTCCCACCAATTTGAATACTGTTTTGCATATTTTTTTGCAGCAAGTGACAATTTGCATATAAGGTCCCTCCCCTACATAACAGGAATAGAGGGGTGGAGTCAGTCGCCCCTCCCCCAACCTCTGGCGTAACCAAACAGCCCCCCAGACAGACACAGCACGGAGGGGGCGGCTTTCTTCCCGCCCCCGTGTAAACATGCAAGAGTCCTCGTGCAAAGGGCCCTGCTCCTTTAAGAGGCAGGCAGGGAGCAGCGGGCCCCAGGGCCAATCAGGGTGCGAAGGCCGAGGATTCTGGGAGCTCATTGGTCAGCGTGTGCCACTGCTCCCAGCGCTGGTCGGGGGTCTGCAGGCAGCCCAGCCAGTGCTGCAGCCGCTCGCCCTTGGAGCCCATGCCCAGGGTCGTGCCACCTGGGAGGAGAGATGGTTAGGGGTCCCCTGGCGTGCCCAGCCCCGGGGCCCAGTCCCCCCGCCCCATGGTGTCCCATGCCCAGCACCCCTTACCTGCCCCTCAGCGCCCGGGGCCCAGTCCCCCCGCCCCATGGTGTCCGTTACCCTGCCCCACAGCGCCCTGGGCCCAGTCCCCCCGCCCCACAGTGTCCCATGCCCAGCCCCGGAGCCTGCCCCACAGCGCCCTGGGCCCAGTCCCCCCGCCCCACAGTGTCCCATGCCCAGCCCCGGAGCCTGCCCCACAGCGCCC